CTCCAAAAGCCTGCGCTGTACTGTCGCCCAGTCGCTTAGGTCAATAGTTCTCCGTAGATAGATCCAATACGTTAGAGCCGGTCCCACAAGGTGGCCTATAAGTGCATTTCCCCACTCGCGCAGTTCCAATCCCATCTGGGTGTACCGGCGCTCGATGCGCAGCAGAAAGGCCTGCATAGTGCTGGCGTCTTCTGGTAGTATGGGAGTCGTTGCGCCGGATTCCACGTTACCCCCAATAACAGTTCTTATCACACTCATAGCGGACTGGAATTGGTTTCACGTGACGAAGGGACTGTCCCCTGGCATAACATTGGTCATAGGTATCACCTGTGGGGGCGCCTCCTTATGCCCATGCGGCCGCTCTGCCACGGTGGGCTTCGGAGTCGCGTGGCGATGATGGGCTGGCATCCCGCTCGGCATTTTGCTTACTGACATTGTAGAAGTCTCCTGCGGTGTGGGGCCGATAACGCGTCCGTTGTGGAGATGCATCCCTTACCGAGCGAAGATGTCTAGGCACGAGTTATTAAAACATGGTATTTCTACTCCCAAGTCCGGGAAGAACAAAGATTTCGTCCCGGAAGAGCCCCCAAATGTAGTGCACAGCGCCTACTGCTGCGACTACGCTGTTACCTGCCCCTCGAGCAGGGCCTACAAACGGCACCTAACGTAGGCCCATTTCCTGGAAACTGTAGCTTATTTTTATCGAAATACAATAATTCTTAAGTTTTTCAAAATATGTCTGTTCGACTTGCCCCACTCTAGGAGCTCGCCTCCTAGGCCCTATGGGGAGGAGGCCTGTACTGGTGCCGGCGCTATTGCCAGCTCCAGTCTCCACAAAATTTCCACACATTTCGCGTATGCATATTAATTCGTAGACAATTTGCCTTACTTTTATCCTAGTAGGAGGGTCCTGTCCTCCTCCAGTGTTGCGACCCCTTGTAGGTCGCTAGCTAGCTATCGTCTATAGGTCACCAGCAAGCCCTATTGTAGTGCCTGTGCACTACACTGATTATGTAGATTTAAGGAATTTTCGCGTGATTTATCGGGATGCACCTAATAAGGCACTGAGCTCTGCATGTAGTGGAAGCAGCGATTCCATCAGCTCGCCAGGCCTTAGGTCGAATGGTACAACCTTGTACTCCAGTAAACCCAGAACAGAGCGAAAGGGCGCCTTCCACCTGTCTGCCTTGGACATCCAATTAGTGAAAGCCAGCGTCGAGTTCAAGAGTAAATGAATATTTAGTGCTGGCAAATATCTCTATACTAGTTTGGATGGAGGGGTTATGGAAAGGTAGGGGCCATTGTAAGCGCCTTTAGAGCGTGGTAGTTGACCGCCATGCGCTTTTTCTGCTCGCTACCAGCATCGTCATCGTGCTTTTCAAGCACGATGGTAGAGGCACGTAAGGTAGAACTGCTAAGATGTCGGGTAGTAGGTGAATAGGTCAAATCTATCTACCCATTAGCCAAAACCATGGAGATTTAACGCCAGACTTCACGCCTGTGGAATTCGAGCTGCTCTGGTGGCCTGCAGTATATGGCTGCCTTGGGTGAGAGCTGGCCTGTTTGTAGTAGCATGTGGTGGTCGTACGGTTGCTTTGGAGGCAACCCTACAGCGACGCTGTCTCAGAAGACCTTCAGGTCTTTGAGGACCTCAACTATGGGCGGGCACATCTGCCAAGCCTCGTCCAGCAGTATCCACTCGTCAAACTGCGTGTAACTGAGGGAGGCTGCTGAACATGGCGACTCTTCATCGCCAGTATCAGATTGTGGAGAGGTCGCGAAAAGGAAGCAGGAGTGTACTGTTGGTATCCCGCTAGAATGCACGACCAGCATACACAACAAGGGTCCCTGGCACTCTTCACACAGGTGGATGATGACTAGCGACGTCATGCAAGGTAACGCCAGGAACGCACAATTGTCGTCCCCCACTTGACGCAAAGCCTCCTTGATGAGCAACTTGGCGTTTGCCCGGTGGTATCCCTTAAGTTCCTTGGCGAAAGAGTGAAAGAGCATAGATGCTTTTCTCGCTGTCATCCTGGACACCTGGTGAGTCAGTTCGTCTTAGGCATGCTCTGTAGGTGGCTTTAGCAGCGCTTTCCGAGACCGCTGTTCTTTGTCCATGACCTCATTTGATTGTTTCACCGAGATATTGCACCAGCGACCAGCCACGTATGTGCATAGTTTGTCAGACTGGAAGCACCAAGCCACCCTAAGGCCAGTCAGACATTCCAACCGAGGCAAAAGAGCGTACTAGACAATTTTTCGATAAGCGTTCGCCTCCAGACCACATAGTTTTAACCCGTTCACAACGCGGTAAATATGCAACTGCTCCCCAATGGCTACAGCGACACGATGTGCCTTATGAAAGTGACGCACCCGCAGGCCTAGTTACTTGACGAATGACGGGATAATAAAACTTCGCGGTGCGACCGTGTCCACGAGCCCCTCACAATTGTTCCGTATTATCTGAAAAACAAGCACAGCTGTTATGCCCATGCTACACAACGTCCCGTGGCCCTCGGCCACTATCCCCGCACTCTGATGATCTCGCCACCACTCTGGGGTGCCTTAGGTTTCCTCGAGGATAACCGTTTTCTGCATTTGGCCTTTCTCTGCAGTAACGCATTTCCTCGGGCAGTTTGTGCTCACGTTAGCGCTCTTCTTCTCCTTTGGTCAGGCCGTTGTTCCTTCTTTGCTCTCCGTAGGTCCATATGTAGCCTCAACTCGGTAAGAAAGAAAGAGGGTGCCCCTATTTCTTGCTGTAGCAGGCTCTGCCCCCAGCTTGAGGAGACTTCGACAGCGTTCGGCCCCGTGGCTATAGTGCACAGTAACTCCCCTCCATGGCCCCTGTGCCTGTGACGTTCATCTCCCATAGCTCCAAGGCGTAGCCGCTGTTATCCTGTCCGCTTAGGCGGCCAGGAGGTACCTCTTGCGGCTTCGTTATACTAGAGAGGGGGCTTCGGTGGTGTGGCACAGCCTCTGCCTTAGTGATCCACACCTCCACATCGCAGGCATGTCTCTCTGGTCCGCTGGATGTTTCCGCTGCGTACGGGGCAGTCTTGGGACAAACGCCATTTCCCTTGAACTCGTAACACATGGAGCTTACAGGCTCGCCTGGCTTGGGCAGCGTCTCTCGACACATAGGACTGGCGGAGAATCCTTGCTCCCGCGGTCTTCCTGCGCCTACGCTAAGAGACAACTCGTTGCGATGTCTCCTCCTCACATCAGCATGAAAAGTCCACGGGCCTTGTAAATTAATGAGTGCAGCTGTTGCTTCGTGTGGTAGCATCTGGTTAAACCCCTGCACAACTCGACTGATAGTTGCCCATGTAGTACTCCAGTACCTCGGCCTCTGAAATCTCTGTCCTCTCTGCTACGATTTTTGCAAAATTAGTCGAATACTCGGAGTGTCTGATAGGCTTTAAAAATTGTTAGCACACTCGGTATTTGGAGGTCGAGGAGGGCTATACAACAGTACCTCCCTTAAGAAAGGGAGACAACGTCCAAACTATTGCTCGGAAAAATCTGAAAATATGAAAACTGTAGGCACAAAGTGAAATAAGCGTGATGGAAAAGGCGGCTTCCCGGGCTTCCCTGGGACGTAAAGAAACAGTTCCTATCCCTAGGGAGTATTGGAGCTGCACGGCGAATTTATGATTCAAAATGATGCCTTATTCCTATTTTTAAGGTACTATTCTATTCGGTAAAAGCACGTGATCGCAAAACTTGTCGCATTTGATTCATTCAGCCCTCCAGCTCACCAGGAAGGAAAATTCTCCGCGCTACACAGAGAAAATGTACACGATACGCGCTTGTTCACTGCTTTACGCGAATTTGCATTCGTACTCAAGTCGCAGTATTTCATTCCCGTGCAGTTGATTCTTTTGACGGAGTGGAAACATACGGTGTTTCATGCGCTGTGGGGCTAATTCCACAACGATTTAATCCTATTCTCCTGCTAAATTTTCCTTAGGGCTTGCAGACGGCCCCCAGCAATTCTTTGTTACTGTATGCTAACCAACAAAATTCTGTCGTGCTTCAAATAATAAATGCCTACTTGTTCCTTACTACGTGGCAATTTACTGCGCAACGACTTAAGCGTACTTTCCTGCTAAACTTTTCTTCGAGCTTGCAGACAACCTCCAGCAATTCTCTATTACTGTATGCGAACCAACAAAACCCTGTTGTATTTGAAATAAAAAACGGCGTACTTGTTCCGTGCCCTCTCTACATGACATGGACCAATAGCCTTTCTGAATCTCACAACAACTCCTACTGATGCAATGGAGCTCCTTGGCTTCCTCTTGACTCATGCGGCACCTGCCAATAACGTATGTACATATGCACTATGTTGTCTGCTATGCAAATACGAATCGGACTGTCATGCGTTGGGTTATTCCCGTGCTGAGGCAGACGTCTCGCGAGAGTGCTCAGTGCTTCTCCCTTGTTTCTTCCTAAAGCTGAAAAATCAACGGAGCGGCACCCCCAACCCAGCAGGGATACACATGTTACTGCAGAGGAGCCGCCAGCTGCGGGCCGACCCTGCGAGGGAGCAGGGTGAGCACACCACTTTCCGACGATGCTTACCACCCCGTTGAGTGCGCTTACACTCCATGAAGACAAAACCATGCTGGATCGGCGCAAATGGGACTGGCTACTTCCTTGCCTACCGTTAATAGCTGTTCAGGCAAATACTCTTCCGTCCGCAGGTAATGGCTCTTACCACCAGCGGCTACTACAGTCCGATTGGAAGACCTCCTCAGTAGCCATACACACAACTTTCACAATTCTAGAAATACAAATCAGTATACGCTCGATTAGAATCCACCGTTCACTACTGGTGCTTTTGCCCGCGATGCTTCATCAGTCACCGCTGAATTCCTTCAGGTAGCTCCACTAGATTCACTGAAGCAGTTTTTCGTTTTCCTCTATCGGGCCAAGTACAGCGTACAAGGCATATTGCTCTTTTTCTGATCACTGCTGACGCGCAGTAACGAATTGCCTATTAAGTTTGCTATGTGAAGCTGCATTTGAATACGGTGTTGGTTTCGGAATTGCCACCTCATTTGCTGCAGCCCTGTTGATGTCCTCCGCTTGTAATCCCTTCGGTATATGCCATTCTGGGGCTTTGTCCCTCGGTTGCGTACCCGAAAGCCCACCGCTCTTTCGAAAGTCATGTCGCACGTTATCATGTTGATGCCGAGAAATATTCGGAACGTCATCCATTGGCTCCTCTTCCCCCAGAACTGTCACTGCAGGAATATTGGTCTTGCTTTTGAGGTTCCATTCTCTCTTGTCGTGCCTTTCTGGTAGATTAAGGCTGTGGTTGCTAGCTGCACCGTGAGTCGGGTTAAGTTTGGAGGGTGTGGAGGCTGCTGCAATGGCGCTTGCGGCGGAAGTAGCAATCAGCTTTGACACAGCTGGGGAAGTAATAGGTGAAGGCTGAGAAATTATGCTCAAGTTATCAACATCTGGAGACCCCAAGAGCACGTCAGACTCGCTATACCCCCCAAGCAGCTTTTCCCACACCCACGCCACGGCCAATGTGATCCGATCTGCAGTCCAGAGAGCCAGAGATACAGAATGCCGGAGCGAAAAAAAGGCCACCTAAAGCATAATTGAATAAAGACGCACAAAACTTTGAACAACATTAAATAAGCAATGGCGCTGTGGTCCTCTGCACTAGGAGCACACAGACCATGCGACTTTTGACTCGCAATGGAAGTAAACCGTCGGTGCCCACGAAAAGAAGCCCTTGGAAAGGATTTCCGCTTCAAATCTAACCAACTTATATTGAGACGCGCACACGCAAAACAAGCTTCAATAGCCCCAGACGTCTCAGCAGGACGAATGCGCAGCACCCCAGGAAGAAGAGGAACGCGAACCAAATAAGCTCTGAATCAGACGCAGACCTGTAGCAGACAGCAGACCGACAGGAAACGAACACAACAAAGAACTAAGAGATATCATCAGCCTTCACTGGCTTCACTACCTGCCGTTAATTTTCCCCAAAATGTTTTGCGGTCGCGACATGAACAAAAATAAAACGCATGCGAAGATGTCCTAAGAGCTGAATTGCGCATGCATCAAACAATTCGACGGCATCCTTGAGTAAGGAGGCACAAGTGGGTCAGAGGCTTTACAGCAGCAGTCGAAACGCGAAATCCGGTGCTGCAAGATATTAGCCATCTGAAATCGCTCCTGCCTTCTGTGTTCTTAACCAGAAGCCAGGCTCAGCATGCCTCCAAGAAAACAGAAAAAGAATCTAATCTGTACGATATTTATAGCTGGGCTTCGCAGGATTGCGCTGTGGCAACGGGAAATGCCATGCGTCGTAGTTCGCCTTGAGCCCCACTCGTCATCCACGGTCACTTTGTGGGACGGTCCACCAGAGTTAAGAAATCCAAGCATAAACACTCCAGTAGATCGCTGCAATCCCATAGTTCGTCCACCAGTTCAACAAGGTATCACATGCAACAGCGCATACGTAAAAAGAGAGCGCAAGAAGGAAACACAGAACACGAAGTAGTGCAGGCAGCTCGGGCCTCCAACAGACACGTATTCAATCTTCTGAATGCACATAGCCCAAGTGCCCCAATGAAGAGGCAACACAGATATTCATGAGATGACGAGAGCTTGTATACTGCGCGTGCACTCAACACCAAGAAAAGAGAGGGGCCATTGCTGTAAGCGCATTGCCAGCATGGGCGTTCCGCGGTCTCGCTCAAAGCAGCCCTCAGCATAAGGCAAAAATCACTGTCGTTACAAAGAGGCGAGCATGCATGCTGTTGGTTTTCCACCTTTTTGACGTCAATATATTGTTTTGTGCTTGGATGCCATCTGCTGTTCTCTGCTTTTTCTCCCTGATACCCTGAAGCTGCGCTGGGCATCCAAGGAATTGTGTACCTCTTCTTCAAAGCCTGCAGCATCCCTGTCGCGCTTGAGAGTCGCGCGCCAAAGACTGCAGCACCAGCACCAGCAGCAGCAACAGCAAGCGCCACTGAGCTCTGCCCCGCCTACTCTGGCTCTTCTTGGCACGACGCATTCACTGGGCAGTGCAACATCCGCGGCTCCACCCACGGTAGAGCAGGCTTATAGCAGCCTTCGGATCCTGTCCAGAATTTTTGGCCGAATAGGAGCCCTTACTTCTCCCATCTGGCCCCTCTCGACTGCAATTGGCACGCTGCATTGTTCGCTCATTTTCACGTATCCATAAGGTTCAAGGCGAACTGAGGCTCTGGCGCGACAAATGAAGCCATCTTACTCGCATTCGTTTCCGTAGATACGCAACTGGTGCATAAAGTGTAAAAAACTGAACCCCTCCAGTCAATTTGATGCCCACGATGCCACAAGCAATTTCTACAATCCACTGAAAGCCCAAGCAACTCTAGCCCTTTAGTGCAAACCAGTAGGTGCTGCGACGCCACTCAGTTTTCTTCCTGTTCACATAAAGATAGATTTGGGGACATGGCGAGTCGACCACCGGTCGTATATTAGTATGCAGCACATGTCTGACCGTTGTAGGATGACTCCGTTTGTTCCAAGGCACTAGACGACTGCTGCAGCTGCTCTTCTGTGGCTTGCATGCGTTGCACTTCCTTCACCATCGCTTGTCCAGTCTCCTGCAGCAGTTGCTGGTTGTGTGGCACGGGTTGGGAGACTCTGTGCAAGCCTCCTGGCTTCACCGCACCATCTTGGGACTTAGGGGGCACAGGCGCAAACGCCAGCTGCTCCCCAGCTGTCGCCTTGGCTCTTACAGGCTCTACACGCGGGCCTCCACTGCGAGAGGGGCCCGCAGAAGGTCCTTCACGAGCAGAGACTCCTACTGCAGTCTGTGCCCTGAGACACGGTGCACTGGTACCGCGCACAAAGTTTCCTTTATATCCGGTTGCTAGGAATTGGGATTAAATTTTGGCAGGGCAATGCTTGTAAATATCAAGAGCAAAACATCCACTTCTGCAAACCTAAGATTTGCGTGTTGGGACAATGCAGCTACAGCTCTACATGAGTGATCCCACCTACCTCTCCTGGACCGAACATACATAATTCGCCATCCGCATCGTGTGGAAGTGCCGTTCTGTGTTCTGCCACCAGGCAGCAAACTGTGACTTGTACCTGCACTCATGCAGTCCAGTGAACCGCAGCAAGCAGATGTGAACATGACTGAAGATGCGATCAAGCAAGTAATGCAGCATCGGGATTGCAACACAATCCCGATGTCCAAACACATATGGAGTGATAGAATATACATACAAAAATATCCACATGCATACGCATGTACACAAGTAG